TCCGCTGCCACGTGGGCAATGCTACTCCAAAATCAAAGTGGATTTATTCTGGAATAAAAACCCCGCACTCCACACGGAATAATTATGTTGAAAGAGAGTCACTTTTCTTCCAGCACGGTTTCCGCCCAACGCTCGCGCTACCACAGCCCGGCTGAACAGCTTGCCCAAAGAGCGAAGCACATGGCGCTAATTGCCTGGCTTCAATTTTGGTGCCCCCTGCTACAGAATTAGGGGCATTCACAGAGAGATGCTCTCTGAAATACCCTGAAGAGCGACTGCGACAGCCCCCCAGGCAACACATCCGCGCAAGGGCCTTTCATTACAAGCTCATGCAAATTTATGCTTATTACTGTACATTCAATATTGGATCAGATGGTTTTACCATGACGCAAACTTTTTCTTTTTTTTTTTCTTTCTTTTTTTTCCAATGAGAAATTACACACTTGGAAGTTATTCCTCTTCCTGTTGATTCCCTCCTTGCAGGGTTAAATAGCATTTTCTATACCCAAATGTGGAGGATTATTTTAGAAAAGATCTTCATCTCAGGAGCCTCAATATTACACATAATGATCCATCAGATGCGTGTGCTTTTCATCCCTCGGCCCTGGGGAAGGCGGTGTGCCGGGAGCGTGCGCCCTGCCTCGGAGCGGGCGGCTGCCCGGTTTTCTGACAAACTGGAAGCAGAATTATGTGAAGTCCCCACTCTTGGCAGGAGATTTTTAGCAATAAGTAGCAGCTTTATGAGGAATATCTTTTGCCAGGGGACTATCAGCCAGGGAGCAGAAGGATTCTTATTTTTTAATGGACTTTTAATAAGTAGGCCACAATGATAATCTTGACACCAGACTAGCTTTATTTCTACATGTAATTATCTTCACTTCGCTCTCAAGCTCCCCGCAGCCTCCAAGAGCAAATAAGACCACCAACCTCTCCGTGAGAAAAGGAGGGAGAAAACAGCGTAGAGCCACTTGAAATGCTATTTGTATCAGAGCTCATCTGCTCCTCTCATCTGACATAAAAGCCAACCTCTCTTCTCCTCCTCTAAATCAATTAAATCTCGCTTTCGGCGTTTAACTGCTTGAACCCTTACCAGCAGGAAAATCTGTGCTCGGAGCATGGGCAGCGTTGGGAACGCAGGGCCATGTCTCCCAATGCTGCAGGAAGACTGTTCGCAGCCCCGTCTCCTCCCTGCACCCTGTCCGTCCCCGCGCCATCCCACCATGTCCCCCATCCTTCATCCCATCACCAGCTCTGATGGTTGAGACCGGGCAGGAGAAGGCAGAGACCCCAGCCCTGGGGCAGCCCAATGCCACCGCTCCTCAGCCACAGCCCCGGCTCTTCGTGAGGCCACCTGGGCAACAGGATGAGGGACCTACACGGGTTAAAAATAATCCGGGACCCTCTGGGAACAAGCAGGGAGGATGGGCAGCCAAGGTGCCCACTGAGCCTCCGAGATGGGTTACTCCCAAATGTGCACCTTCTGCAAGCACAGGCAGAGCCTGATCAGCTTCTGAAGAGACTCACTAAGCAAAAATCCCACCGGGACCATCCCTCCATCCCAGCCCTCCAGATTCGCCAGTATCTAACCTCTCCTGTGCTGCTCTGCGCAGCCGTACGCTGACCCAGCCTGGCCCGGGAAAGCAGGTCCCATCGGCACCGTGCTCAGGGGAGATGCCGGCTCCGTGAAGGGGTCTAAGGGAGATGCTTCATTGCTCCCACCAGCTTCTAGCAGGACTTTTTACAACACATTCCTCCCTTCATTACCTTCAAATCCCACTCTAAAATGACTCTCTCCCCAGCACAGCCTCCCTCTGCGGTACAGACCCAGCCGTGCTGCCCCGTCAGCCTCCGCTGCCTCCCCTCCGCCGCAGCGTGCCCTTCCCAAGCCTGCACGCAGGCTCTTCCAGGGCTCCTCTGTGTGCAGCCTCGCAGGGAACGGATGCAAGTGACACACAGAAATAACTGGAGGTATCGCAGCACAAAGTGCACGTCTCAAGAAACCCCCAAGATCCCTGGGGGAGAGCTGCTCCAGGCTGGATTGTCAGCAGCAACTCTTGTTCTGCACCTCTCTCTCACTGCTATTCAGGCAGCCAGCCCTTAACTCTTAAGGGTTGCCTGAACATCCCTCCTTCCACCTGACCATCCAACAGTAACGGAAACATTCACTCCTTCGCTTTTCCCCAGACTCAGGGATTTGACTCTGCCTTCAAAATTAATAAAGTTCTAGTTGAGGTGTGCTCCAGCGGAGGTGCAATCTGCTCCTTTCGGTGCCCAGCAGCCTCCCTCTTAATGATTTACAAATATTGCTGTCTCCCACTTGCAAAACCAGTCCTGCCTTTTACTACAGTCGATGCAGCAAGTCCCCGCTTCCAAAGGCTGGCACTGAATGAGGCTCCAAACGGCAGCACACGATCTCCACTGCCCAGGCTGGACCAGACGCATACAGCGAGGCAAAGCAGCGTGGGAAATTCTGCAGCCAGCAATGCTTTGGGCACTTTTAAAAACCAAAATACAAATAGCACCCGCTGGGTGCAGGAGAGGCAGGTCTGTGGCCGTAGGGGTAGGTAGGTAGGTGCAGAGCACTAGATCGCCTCTCTCCCTCCACACTTGCTCAGCTTAACACTGAAACCAAAATGAGCTATGCTAAACGTCTCCACTGCTAACAAGAAACAAATGTGGCCTCATGTTCTAGTTGCTGTGATCTAACAAAACAGACCATGGTAAACACTATAAAAATGTACTGGAGGGAACCACCCTGTGTTTGCTGGGAGAGAGACTGGATAATCTAATAGGGTTTTATCCATCTCTAATGTCTCTGAAAAAAAGAAGGGAAAATTGGGCCCCGTCCACGACATTCGTCATATGCTAGCTATTCTGATGTCTTAATGCTGCAGAAATCAAATTGGAGTGAGGCTACCTATCTGCCTCCCAATCAGGACCTAGACCCAAGTGCTGCTTTTTATGGCCATGCAGTGCAAGGAGATGCTGATGTCAGTGGTGGCACGGGCCAGGGCAGTTTTTCTATCCCTATCCCCATGTTATCTGGATAACAATATCTCCCTTTGTGGTCTCTCCTCACAATGTGGATAATTTTTCACTTTATGGACCTGGGGATCCACCAGCGGGACCTTCCTCAGGCTGAAAGCATTCATGAGGACCAGGTACCTGCCCAAAACGTTAGCACTTCTCTGGGTACCTGGGTATCGTGGTATCAGCAGCAACACTGGCACAGGGTCATGTCCAGATTCGTATCTTGGCCACGGTAACGGCAAGGGTTGATTCAGTCACCCACCTCCAGACACCTCATGGAGCTCTAGGTACCTGCCTGGCCCTTAACCAAAGGGTTAAGGGTCTCTTCTAGCTCCAGCACCAAATCTGCCAGCCTCCACGAGGATCTTGGACACCCTCTGGCCCTTCAGATAGACTTATACACCTCTGCTCAGGCGGTCACCAGAAGTCACTCCCACCCAAGTCATTCTCCTCCCGTACCTTTGCCCTGGGCAGGCTCTGCAAGGCAGAAGCCCCCCCCCAGCTCCCAGGAGCCCCATCCCTGTCGGCACGCCGGCTGCCATGTCCGGAGGGGAGAGGGAAACAGGCCCCGCTTGGTTCTTGCACAGAGCCACAGGCTGCACGGGCAACCCTGTGCTGCTACTGACGCCCAGTCAGGTTTTTTGCATTCACTCCATCCTCTTTTTCAAGCATCTTGGGTTTGTTGTTTGCTTTTTTAAAGCTACTGTGACCTTGGCACGGGGACGGACAAACATCAACTGCCAGAAAACAGCACGTTCTGAAAAGCTACACAGAGCAAAACCACAGCCCCATCGCAGTCTGCAAGATCTCCATCTGGGGAGGGGAGAAAAGAAGCATTTGGGGTGCTCACAGAAAGGGCTGCTGAGAAGCTGCAAGTGCAAAGCATTGCATCTCCTTGCTTAGCCCGAGGGCCGACAGTTCCACGCGCTCCTCCGGCTCTTACCTGGCTCTTCCCACGCCGCCGGTAATTCCTTCTTACAAGGTTCTTGTAATTCTCATTCTTCTTGGTCAGGTAGTAATACAGGACGCAGTCTGCCACCGTCTGCAAGGACACGGGCAAGTCAGGGAACAGAAGGTCCCATCCCCTCGCACCGCTGGGGCACAGACTTCCAGGAGCAGCATTCAGGTCCTGCCACCGCCAGGTCTCCTGCTGCTTCTGAGGATCTGCAGCCCAAACAGGCTTCCCCCAACCCCCTCCCAAAGCCCCTTCGTGGAGCTGGAAGAGGGGGGCAACGCACGTTGCCCTAGTAAAAAGGCTCAGCTCTTCCAAGGGACAGACCGAGGCCGTCCCGCAGGCGTGCCAAGACGGAGATGGGGGTGCAGAGCAGAAACCACCCCGTGTTGGAAGCAAAGCAGGGGGGAGGGCTGACCCCAGATGACTGTGGCAACTAAAGGCAGAAAGAGGAGAGCCGCCTGTCACCCTCTGTTGTGGTTATGGGAGGCACAACCTGCCAGGGGACTGTCAGCTAGTGTTATCTCCAGTCGTTTAGCTCGCTGGCTCGAGCGCACACGACTTTCTCATGGACAGATAGAGATGCTGGCGCTCAGGAGCCACCATCCCAACTCCAACACCAGTGGTCGGCTCCACGAACACCGTCCCGGATCACAGAATCATAGAATTGTTATGGTTGGAAGAGACCTCAAAGATCATCAAGTCCAACCGATCGGACACATTAGGAAAACAAGGAGCTGTGGTTGGGACATATTCTGCTCCTGAACAACACCGAGCATGCCATGCTGGGAAAAGTCCTTTGCTGAACTGGGTGGGCACCTGAACACTGGTCTTGGGCTACACCTACGTATACAGGATCAGCGGTCGCATGAACAGAAATAATCCCACAGACCCATCACGCCTGCAAGCGCCCGGGAGCAGGGTGCTGCTGCGCGCTCCCGGGGGTGCATTGGTGCTGCGCTCTCCCTATCCCTGTGCGAGGAGTAGAACCATTTGCAAAAACAGATTGCAACTTTTAAAGTGTTAATTGGATCTCTTTCTAATCTAGCCCTGATTATACACACACGCGCAAACACAAAAACTTACAGTCATCTGTTCCAAGGGCTAAGATCACTATTTTTTTATAATGCAATTTAAAAATCTATTAATTCATTACATTGAGCCATACTTTGCATCTCTCTCCAACAGGATAATGGATGTGTTCTGTATCATAATTACAGCCTGATTTACAAACGAGTACAAATAAAATTAGAAGACATTTTACAGCTTGGAACACAGACTGGATTGTGAGAATCATCCAAGTTCCACCGCTCTCCGCTTTAACAAGTGGGAAAGGCTGAAAAGAGCCTGGTATCCTACAGCGACAACAGCAGCACGAGGTTGCTGCTGGCCTTTGCTTGCTTGCTGCCTTGGACAGGAAAGTCAAGGTCTTCTAAATTATTTCCTCAGCCTGAGCCAGGCAGAATCAGAGAGTAATTCAAGCTGGAAGGGATCTCTGTAGGCCACCCCCCCTGAAAGGAGAGGGGTTCCCCCAGGGTGAGTGGACACTGTGTGAATGAAACACTGCCTGAGATGGGCAGAGGATGCCACAAACTACAAGGACCAGAGATGCAGCAGCTCCCAAATGGTTCCTGCTTGGGAGAGCACCTGGTCCATCACTGTCTTTCCAGGCTGGGTCTGTCCAGGATCTGCCCATATGGCCTGTCCCACAGAAAGTACCTGGCCTTGCTCAGAACGGGACCAGAGACACCCTCTTCCTTTGGATCCCTTTTTCAAACCTTTCTTCCATCAGCCCAATTAACAGCCAAAAGGGAAAGTCTGAGAAGCACAACACAGAAGCTTGGGAAAGGTCAGGCGCTCCTGCGAGCAAACTATTACTAAACACCAAGGGGAGGCATGTGCGCTTACATGACACCAACCTGAACTGCTGGATGAACTGGGACTCAGCCCACCCTCCAGATCCCCTCCCTGAGCAAAGAGCGACCCCTCCGCTCTGTCCTGGGCAGCCGGGTGCCCACAGCCCCCGTGCAACAGCCTGGCTGGTGCAAAATGCCTCCGGGAGATGCTGGAAGGCAGATCCCCCAGGCAGATCATGGGGTGGGCTGCAACGCCTACGCACCAGGCTGGATGCATTCACACATCTCGCGGCTCTGAGCTCCCCATCTTTCCGCAGCTGACTCAGTCCCTTGTCTCTGCAGGGAGCCGGGAAGCGTCTGGACCATGCCTGGGGCTCTGAGCCACCACCACCCACAGGTGCCCAGAATCCGCTGGCTGCTCCAGCACCAAAGGGAGCTGCATGATGGAAAAGAGACAGTGCGAGGCAGGTGAAAGCCAGGCAGGGAAGCTTACCTTCCTGTCCAGAAAGGATGCAATCAGGCCGAAGTTCTTTGGATGCTGCATGAACCTGTGTGAGCAAGGGGGAGAGGGTTAGTATGGGTGCTGACGCTGACCCTCCTCACAGCGGGGCTGCCGTGCTTTGCGTGCCCAAAGCAGTGAGGCCAGCTCCCCGAGGGACTTAGGGGGTTGAGAAAATATTTGTCTGCTGCTCAGTTTCCCAGAAAGACAGGAACTTTAAACTTAGCCCCGTGGAGCCAGTTGGTCAGGAGCTTTGATATGCAGATGTTCCTCACTGGGTGGGAGAGGGCAGGGAGGTTGGCAGTGCCCAACAGCTGCCCGTCACCCTGCGCAATCCCACAGCCACCCAAGCCCGTACCAACGGCAGGATGGGCACAGAGGGCAGCTGCACACCTGGCTGAAGCCTCAGGATTTGGCAAGGAAAGGGCAAAGAATCGCCATCAATGGTCAAGCACAAGCACCCTGCAGCATGGCCAGGGGTGCCCCCACCGCTGAGCGGGACCCTAAGCCCAGCTGGGCTGTCAGGAGCAGCTGCAAAGGACGGGAAGGGAAACCCAAACCCCGGGAGGAAGCACAGAGCTGCCACGTTGCTGAGTTGCTCAAGAGATCCCCAGTGGCACAGCAGCTCCGAGGAAGGGAACGCCGCCTCCTGCCCAGTGAAGCGGAGGAGCTGTCAGCAGCCTGGCCCATGGCTCCGGCAGCCCAGGAGGGTGCACGCCCGCTGAGGGGAAGCTGTCCCTCCAACAAATCCCTTCGCCTAGCTGGTAGGGAAGCACCGAAGGCCAGCAAGCCCTTGGCTCCAGGTGCTCCTGCTGGCAGGAGGACAGTTAACGGGTGTGTCACCAAAGCGCAGGGAGCCTGGTGAGCGATGACTTTGTGCCAGGGCTGGAATGCAGTGCTGGCCCCAGCGGAGAGGCTGCCACCAGCCCAGGCTCTGTCCCGGGGAGCCGAGCAGCCGGGGCCAGCCCCGTTAGGCTTTGCCAGCTCCCAGGAGCTGATGGCTCTGTGCCTCGGGGAAATGGATTGGAGGCAAAAGGTGGGCGAGCTGCGGTGTGGGCGTAATGCTGGCACGACAGGGTGAGCAGCTCAGCGCCTCCAGCCCTGCCGGTGATTCCCCCAGGGCTGCTGGCTGAGCTCTCTCCTCCTGCCTTCGCTGCTCAGCCCCACTGCCAAACTCAGGGTCAGGGTACCAGGCTGAGCTCAGCGAGGGCCAGACCCACTCCAGCCATGGCAGCAGGACGTGGGTGCTGACACCCACGCACCGACGTCCTTCTTGATGCAGGACCCCCATCTGGTTTGGGTGGCACTACAAGAACCCTGTCACCATAACCGGTCACCGGAACAAGGGGACCTTGTCTCTGCTGCTGCCAGCATGAGGGTTTTGTGGGTGACAGTGTGGGTCGGGGGGTATGTGAGAGCATGGACAGCAACGGGAGCGTGATGCTCAGGTGCTTAATAGGGTCCCCAGTCCCTATCCTATGGACAGCTGCAGGCTTTCCACCATCAAGCGTCTTGAAGGATAAAACTTAACCCCTAGGTATAACACAGACACACCAAGGGAGATTCCCCAAGACACGTGAGTGAATAAATAAATAAGAAAAAAGAAACCAGAAATGCCAGGGATTAAAAAAAAAAAAAAAAAGGCAAAGCAAAGCAACTGGGCTGCTCAGACAGACTGGGACCAGAGCACAGAGCCGGAGTTGGCTCGTCACGCTGTACACAGCACAAACCAAGGGCTGACCAAGGGACAGGGTTTTCAAGGCCATGTTATCAATGACGCTAACGCAGCATTGGGGCAATGCAGACGACAATCCACTGTTTTTCATGGGCCAGGCCGTGTCCCCACGACGAGGGACAGATGCTACATTCTCATGGTGTCCAACACGATGGGTCCTCGATGCCTGAGCAGGATCAAGGGGTACCACAGCCATCCCTACTCCTTCACCAGCAAACCACAGCCCCCCTGGGAGCAGGCTACTGATGGGCCCTCAATAAAGAGACCCAAGAAATCCTGCCCAGAAGCAAATCAAATCAGACTCTTCCTTGTGGTTATGTTTTGACAGCTAAAATAGTTCAGACCTGGAGCTTGTCAGCCTTGCAGTGCCTGGCTGTTTTCTCCGAGAGCCCGTGCCATCAGGGCTGAACAAAAGGTTGCACCAGGTTTTCATGGTCTGAGGAAGAGGCCAGCTCTGGGTCACGGTCATGGATGACACAACTCCGGCTCACCTTAAAAACCCAGGCTAGAAGCTGCAGCACACCAGGCAGCTCGGCTACCTGCACACCAGGATCGGTACAAGAGCCAGGGCAGGACTCCCTTGGCCCTCCTTACAGCTTCTAAGTACCAATCTCTTAAAATGAGCTTTGTGAGAGCCCTGAAATCCTGCTGTATTTATGCCTCAAGCTCCGCATCACCCACAGTGATGACACAGAAACCACCGTGCACAGCAGGATGCATGAGCTGGGTGTGGATTCTTCCAGCCCCATTAGCCAGGCACAGCCCTGCCATTAAAGACCAAGTAATTAGCCTTGGCGTCATTTGCGGGCAAGCCTTGCTGTTTGGAGTGTCACATTTTAAGGCTAATTAGCAATGAGGATTCTCCTCTACCAAAGGCTTGGAGCCGGTTTGCTTGTTTTGTTCTTTTTTGGTCTGTCTTGGCAATTAGTTATTTCAGCTGCAAACAGGAGTTGTCACAAGCCGGGACAGGAGGAGGGATCCCAGACATGGAAAGGCTTCCAGCATGGCTGGCTGTGGGCCTGCTGGTAATCCACGGAGCCGTCCCATGATGGTCCGAGGGCCAGACTAAGGCAGTACTGCTGCAAGGGACAAGGTGGCCCTGGCACACCTACATACCTCCATGTCCCTCACGTCCACAGGAGCGAACCCTGGTAGAGTTCATGGCGCTGGAAGCTAAACTCCAGCTCTGTTTGTACAGACACGGATGGCACATTGGGGGCACCAAGGATGCTCCGGTCCTCCATGCAAACACACCTGGGTTCTCGTTGAGCTACGAGATACAGGGGAGTCTGGATGTGAGACGGAGCTGGGACCTGCAGCTTGGCTGACAGCACGGTGGTACCCAAGGAAGGGATCAGCAATCCCCCAAGTGATCTCAGTTGATATAGCAAAGCTTTTCTCAAGCACTGCTTGCAAACGGGAGAAAGCACCGCAGCCAGAAATTGCACATGTCTGATGTGGGAACACATCCATGGAAACAGCAGCTGGTGGCAAATCCTGAAGACAGCAGGACGGAGCGCTGTGGGACAGGCACCAGCTGGAAGCTGCAGCCTGAGGGGTTCCACACAGGGGGGTTGGATGTTGACAGCCCCGAGAATCCCCCTGGACACGCAGTGCCCAAAGGACAGCACGTAAATCCCAAAACCTAACAGTGTATAGAGCACTGGATTTCACTGGCATTATCCTTAAACTGGCTGATACAACAGGGGACGTAGAAGCAGAAAAACTTCTAGTTCTTGCCCTGTCACGAGCAACAGCTTCCCACACCTCTGCACGTGGGCACGAACACACCAACCACATAGAAAGGCCTGAAGTTTCTGTGCAGGAGCATCACCTGTGCCCAGGTCCGAGGCAATACAGCGACCATGGCCGTGATCCTGGGGGGAAAGACAAGCCCTTGGGAAATTCATGCCTTAGCGTGCTGGGGCCCCGGCCAGAGCATTGCATGGGTCCTGTCTACAGTTCCCAAGGGGTACAGAGAGAGGGGAGTGTGGGCTGCACTCACTTTTCCCGGAAAGTCTCCTTCTCCTGTTCGCTCCACATGTTCATCACCTGCCGGTCCTTGTAGACCTTCATGGGGTCATCCATAAGGCCGTTCATGTTGATGAATTTAATGCGCTGCTGGTCAGCATCGTAGAGCATGGGCGGGATGACAGCGAGCTGGCGCATCTGCTTCTCCAGGTTCTTTGGGGAAAGCACAGAGAACAGTTGGTCAGCACCACAGGCCCGCGGGGACTGCAGGGGACAGCTGTTCGGGAGGAAAGGACAGGCGGAGGAACAGGAGAATTCAAAAGCAAGCACTAGACAGCTTTATTGCTAGAGTAATTGTAAATTAAACGCTGAAAGAGGCTATCGCTGTCAGCCAGGAAACAATTAATCTTTCATTTTGAAATAAAAGGCTTTAAGATACCGCGTGGAAATGTCTGACTTAAGCAAAACAGTTCCTGACTATGACGAGAGACAAGGCAAAGCAGTGGTGGCAGAGGGAATGCAAATCCCTTCCCAGCCACCAAACCCACGGCCACACGGAGGTTCAGCCCTCCGTCCCAAATTGTGAGGGATGCAGGTCAGCTCTGCGAGGCTTTCTGAAAGGGTGGGCAGAGGGAGACGTCGTGTTTCCCTTCCACGGGAAACCTCATGCTGTTCCAGGAGATTGCAAATGTCACTGTAACGGGGCCATCATTCCTTTCTTTCCTCTTACCGTAACACCCTAGGACATAATCTGATGCCTTTACTCCATCCTATTCAAGCACAAAGTTCATCCAGAGCCCCAGCTGCACACCAGAACAGGACAGACTGGGCACACTGGTTTCCTTAAGTATTTCCAACAGTGGCCAAAATGATGTCTCATTTGTGCCGTTCCCCTGCCTGAACGCCAGGACTGAGCTGCTGGATGTCCCTCGTACAGGTCCTCCCTGCGGGGATGAAGGGATGTTCTGGCCACTCTCTTTCATTTGCTAGCAGCACTCTCACTCGGAGTCCTCCTTGTCACCTGGGATGGCACTAGTCAGACATAAATTCCAGCCCTTGACCCAGGAAGGCCAGGTCTCAACTGCTGTTATTTTAATTTACAGCTAGATGCTGGTTCCTGGGAGAACAGTAACATCCAATCCTTCCAACAAGCTGCTGACCCAGGCATGCCCAGCACCGCTCTGCTTGCCTGCTGTGACTGATCAGACCCAACCTCCTCTTCCTCAAACACAGCTCTGCACAAACACAGACGTGTCAACTCATTTCATCACGTTCCTCATCCTCACTAGGATGCCTCCTGTTTAGCAACCGATTGCTTCAGACGCCCTGGGGGTGTCATCTCATTGTGGGAGGTCAAGGACAGCCTGCAGCCAGAGCACCGACCTGGACAACTGCAGACTGCCCCAGCCGAAAGGCAAAAGCCCCTGTGCAGAGCCAGGGCAGGCAGAGGGGCAGCTGGCAGGAGCACTGCCTGCAGCTGAGACCCCTTTGCCTGGCAGGGTCTCGGGGTGCTGACCGCTTCAGATACATCCGACCAGCGGGCAGCCAGACCTCTCTCCTCTCCAGCAATGCGCTGGGGCGGAGAGCTGGCCCCTGCTGCCAGCGATGCTCCCCAGCTCTCACCTCCCTGCTCCTTCCAAGCCTGTAGAAGGGCTGGAACCTCCCTCTTAAGGTCTCCTCTGAGACAAGCATAGCAGTGCTTTGGGGCTCAGCAGAAGGCAATCGGGGTGGAGGTTAGCAACACACCATGCAGAAGGTCAGAGGCAATCGTCCAACGCCTCCCTTGGCCACAACCTCTGCAGAGCTGTGAAATTTCCCTCTGCTTCTGAGATCCGTGTCCTTCGGGTTGTCCCCTTAACTGGCTAACAGCAAACTGCCCGGGACCCAGGGCAGGGAGCAAATGATGGTGGTGCACAGGCAGCAAACATCTCAGCTATCGCTGGGCAATGGTTGCTCTCCCCTCCCAAATGTAATCCATTCACTGCAGCTCGCCTCCGTGCCAAGAGAGCGGAACCCTTGTGAAACCAGATCCAAACGAAGCCAAGGTCACGGGGATGTTTCAAGATGAATGGAGCACTCCCAGAAGATGTGGGCCAACTGGCTCATGTACAAACCATTCATTCCATAGGATTCCCCTGTGTCAAGCCACACAGCCCATTCAAAGCAAAATGAAACAGAAAAACCCCTCCACCCAGCAACCAGGGCGCCAGCTCCCTTCCCTTCCCATCTCCGCTTCCAGTCTAAATCAAGAGCCAGGGAGGTGTTTGTGGGGTGCTAACCAGATGAGCAGCACGCTGGGCTTTCAGGTCCCTAAGAGGCAGTCGATTGCCGATAAACCTGATCCAGTGGCCACTATCTCCCGGGGTGCTTTGTTCCATGTTTTGCTCCTGCAGAACCACTGCACAGCTCCGTTACACCTCTGGGGTGGCTGGAAAGATGCTGCTGGGTATTAAATGAACACCTCACTTTGGATCTTGTCCAGGAAGCATGTTAGGCATCATGGCAACCTCCCCAACCTCAGCATGGCCTGAAGTTAGTGGGATTTAGCATTAGATTTCACTGTGGGACCTGGTGGTACTCTCTTTTCCTGGAGAAGAGCAGAGTGAGGGGTGAAGAGGAGGAGAAAGGACAACCCGGTCTCACCTCTTGTTCTGAGAGCCCGTCGATGATTTCTGACACCTCGTGCTCGCTGCGTGCAGCTGACATGGAGAGCCCACCGCTGCCCCTCTGTCCTACCCTGCTGGGAAAGGGCAGTGAAACACTCAGACACTGATGCTTCGTTTCATAAGCAGCAAACCACATTCATGAGAACTCGCTGGCCCTGTTGTCCTCCTTGTTGCCCTCCATAACAGCCACAGCCCACCACCCCACCCAGGCCACCCCATCCCATGCTGCAGCCCCGTGGGCTCTGACAGCACATACTCCTGCCCAGAGAGTACCACCCCCTGTGTCCCCCCGCGTCTAGGGCTCCAAGGTTGAGAGCCTCAAACCCCTTTCCTTACCTGTGCCAACCTCCTGGATTGCTACAACAGAAGGACATTTCATACCCAACCATACTCTCCCCCATATGTTCTCCTGTTCATCACACCACAGCAATGGCATAAAGGTGCCAGCATTAGCACCAAGCCATTAGCACTGTGCCATCGCATCTGGTTTGCAAATGTTGCAGGAAGTTTTAAATCAAAACCAGCCATTGACATCTATCCTCCCCAATATCATCCAACGTAACAGCCACATGTCCCAAAGAATTAAAACTTTTACTAAGCAGGTAAAAAATTAAAACATTTCTCAGTACCATTTCTCCCCTTCTCTTTAAGATAAAATAAAGCCACTGATTAGGAAGTTTGGACCCTCCAGCTATCAGCGGGGCACAAGGATGGGATGCTGGCAGAAGGGTTTGGGTTCTGAGCACATCAGGTGACTCTGGGCAAGATCCCGGGGTTGAAATGGGAAGGACAGGGAGTTTTCAGCAAGAAGGGTGGTGGTCGTGAAGTCCTGCCTCCTCCTGGCAGGGAACAACGTGACCTCAATTGCGCTTCCAATGAGGAGGAGAAAACAGACAGGAGATGGGAGAGACAGGGGACTTCCATTTTTCTCCCTTCGCCTTGTTCGTGGCCATTCCTATAACCTCTGCAGATGTTTCTTCTCCCTGCCCATGCTCCAATCAAAGCAGGTCCATGTATTAAATCATCAACATGACCAAATGCATCTGCAAGTCCTGCACATCTTAATTTGGGCCCACCAGTAAGGCAGTAATTAGCGGTGTCCCAGCCAGGTGGCTAGCACAAGGCAGCTGCCCCTTGCTCGGACGTGACCAGCTGGGAGATCAGCAACAGGGGGGAGATGGGCAACTGCATTCCTGACATTTTTCCTTCTCTCTTGGCTCTGTGAGGAGCAAACCTGGGGAAAAAGCAGCAAAGCTGCTTGTCTGCTGGCTTCTGCCTTCAACTAGACAGGGAGAAAAGGGACCAAGAGCCATCCCAGCCCGCTCCTCCCACAAACAAATCCCACACCCATCCCCAAAGAAAAGAGAAAGGCTGTCTGATACCAGCTCAGCCCCTTCCTACCGCTTCTCCTCTAACCTCTGCATGCGCTCTTGCAGTTCTCGCTGCTTCCGGATCTCCGGGAATTGCTTCTCATAGTATTCCCGCACTTTGCTCTCTTTGGCACGGCGCCGGGGATTATTTTCAATGCGCTCCACTTTTTTTTCCCAGGCCTCCATCAACTGGTCATAGCGCTGGCAAAACTTCTGTTCCTGAAAGGGCAGAGGGAGACAGGGAGCTCCGGAGACGTGCCTGGGAAGGGCAGCTCCTCCAGGCCTGCCCCTCGATGGCTGCTCAGGCTGAGCATGAGTCACATTGCTTAAAGAAACACGGTTTATTAGGACACGGACATGCTCCAGGGTCTGGGACCAACCCAAGGGTAAATTCTCAAAATAGGCCACCACCTGCCCTCAAGGCTTTTCCCTTCCAGACCCAAAATCTTTGGTGAAACCACGACTCTCGCCCAGCGTGGCTTTGCCCACCCACCACACCTTCTGCCTGAGCATCCTCCAGCGCCTTGGGGGCTGGATTCAGCGACCACAGACCCAGTGCTGGGGAGGGAGCCCTGGCTCCGACATGGCTGGCCATGCATGGGGAGAGGGCAAGTCACCTGCCTGAGGCCACCAAGCAAGAAGGGACTGAAACATGGCCTTGGGAGGGGACATAGGCGGGCAGGACACTCGGTCCTCGCCGTGCAAGCAGGGTGTGTAGAGCTGTAATTTTGGAGCCGTCAGCCTGCTGTACCACGGAGAGGCTTGCCGAGGCGCCTGCAGCCGGGCACCCCTTCCTACCCACCCACACCAGCCTCAGTGCTCATGGCTCTGTGCTGGCAACGCCGACGGGACTGGGGCCACAGAGCGCTCTGTGCATGAGCCTGGCTCCCCGAAACCAAGAGCCAGGCAGCCAGCCCCTGTCCAAAGCCATAGGGCATGGTGGCCTGGCCGCGCCGTGACGCCCCCAGCTCCTCCACCATCTTGGAAAGCAAAAGAATTTTTCCAGCTGCTGCTCCTCCTTTTTGGCCAAGGAGCGGGACGAGCGCATCCTCACTGATGGCAAACCCAGGCTCTGTCAAAACACGGCGCTGCAAGTGTTTTCCCCATCATGTCTCCCGCAGGTAACGTCCTCATGGCACGTCCACCCAGCTGCCCACACAGGTCCAGCACCGCACTTCTCCCTGGTATTTATGGGACCAGCCCAGTAACCATAACATTAAAATATCATTTGCAACACAAATGAGGCTCCCACTACCACCCCTGGAATTGCTCCTCCCTCCTCCAGCCACGCTTGTTGGAGGAGAATGCCCACAGACAGCGGACAGGTGAGGTCCACACCGAGATGCCTGGTCACGGTCCCTGACGGCTGCAGCGGTCACAGGAGTGATGGGGCCCAACCTCATGTGAAAGCAGCTGGGTGACCAGAGGGGGTTTTAAGGTTTCATTTTGAGTGAAACAAATGCCTTCTAGGTCTCAAATCAGGAAGCGAAAGCAGATGTCGCTCTACAAAATAATCAATGGCAAACCCCAGGTCGCCTCCTGCCCCACATGCCGTTTTCCAGAACGGGTGGCTCGACACTGGCACAGTTGGCACCGGTGCGCTCGGCACTGCAGCGGAGACAGGGGGAATCCAGATTTCAAAGAAATAAACTCAACTCTTGCCATCACCACTCCATAGCTGGAGGGAAGTCCAAGGCCATAGGATTTCCAAGATGTGCTCTGCTCTCATCTTGCTCACTCTCAGCCACCAAAAAAAGAAATGGGGAGAGGTAAAGAAAAAAAAACAAACAAAGAACCAAACCGATGGAAACGCCCTATTCCAGGTCAGGAGGCAGCTGGGTTACCCCGAGCCAAGCCGGTCAGTCGTGCCATGGACCCCGAGCACTGGCTGCTCCACAGGCCGTTACTGGTGCCAGGCACCCGCAGCAACCCATGGCCAGCGTCACGCCGATCCTGGCACGTGGGATTTGGTCCAGCCATCCCCGATCTGGCAATAACCCAAGCACAGCAGCACATCCTGCGATCTCCGTGGCCTTTTGGAGGCACCTCGACCATAATGCGGGTGGACAAAGCACCTCGAACCCTGCAGCTGATGCAGACTAACACTGTCCCCCACAAATAAACTAATTCCCATTTACACGCCCCGGAGCCAGAGGCTTTCCTGTCCTGTACAGATGCACAGGAGATGCTTGGGTTTTGGCAGGAGCTAAAGGAAATGGCTGTAAGATAAAAGTGAAGAATGAGAACAAAAATAAAAATGCCCTAAAAGCCACCAAGGGGAATCTCGCGCTGCGGGCGAGGAGCTATAGGTAACGCCAACAAACCGCGGCAGCTCGGAGAAGTCACAGCTGCTGCGTTTTTTACCCCTCCTGAAGCGATGCTACCAGCCCCCTGAAAACGAGAGCTCCCATCCTGCCAGCAAATCTGCTACATCCCCCTGCTTTCAGAGCATCGCATTTGGAAAGAGGCTAAAAATACCCTGCAAAGTTTATCAAGTCTCAGCGCTGGGAGGCAGCCGGTGGCCCGTGCTGCGTGCCAGCCCGCGGCACAGCCGGGGGACAGCCCACTACGAGGGCTCGGTCTGCTGAGGAGCTTCAAGGCTTTGAAAGGTTTTTCATTCCCTGTGGGACCGAGCCAGTGCCGGGTCCCGCATTGCCACCACCATCCCAGCAGAGCTGCCTGGCACGGCTGACGGGCTGTTTCGCAGCCGGTGGTGGGGCGGCTCTTTTTCTTCCTTTTCCTCCACTCTTTGGGACAACTCACCGAAAGATTTACCCAGAATTCCTCTTTTAAAGAAAGGGTATTTGCAGATGGGAAAAGCAACATCAACGTCACACTGCTGATGTCCCCAGCAGCTCACAGCCTGGCAGCGGGGCAGGCACTACCAAAGCTCCCCACTCGCACAACTCAGCCCTCCAGAGCATGGCTTTGTTACCCACCGGCTCAGCACTTCCAACTTGCATCTGCTTTCTTAAAGCCCCTTCCCACCATGGAGCAAAGAGATCCTTCCTGCCACACAAGTTTCAAAGGCCACCACAGTGGGGCTGATCTGCAGCATCCCTTTCTAGCACTTTTTGGTCCAGCTGGGATATAGGCTCCCTGCAATCCTTTGCCATCCTTGAAAAGCCAAAGGCACCTTATAGCACTGTGCGCTCCCCGGATCCTCACAGCTCAATCACCAGGAGAAGCTCCCGGTCAGGCACTTCAGGAGCAGAAGTGTCTATTCCTTCTCCAAGCATCCTCGGAGCAGCCTTAAGCAAGTGTGTCCATTCCTGAGCAACCATCTGTGCCGGCTTTTAGCATCGGTGCTTCCTCTGTGCCCTTCCCCAGCTGGGCTCACCAGCCCCTCAGCCTCTCAATCACACAAGTAAGTGATGGCAAGCCAAATCGGACTTGACATGTGTATCTAAAAACGGACGAATAGTAACGCCACCGTAGCAGCTGAATGCAGTTTGTAGGCTGTGCCAAGCCCGAGCCCTCCCGCAGCCCACGCTCTCGCAGCTCCAGGGAACGGAGCAGCTCTTCGGAGGGGTGGGGAAGAGTGAAGGTGACAGGAGGAACCAGTCCAATTCCTATGCAAGCCCCATGGTTTTCTTTCCCTGGCTGATGGAAATAAACCTCTTACAGCGAGAACAGCTCCCTTTACCCTTCTCTCTCTGCAGCATCATCCCTCTGATGGCAATTAAATGTCTTCTGCTGTGTCGACCTTGGTGGCAGCAGGAGAAAGACCTGCAGACCCTCTGGTGGGGCTCTCAGGGCTGGACCCTGCAGGGACCGAGCTCTGACCCTGCTCCAGCCAGCCCTGGGCAGCCACAATACCCCAGAACGTAAGAGAGCCAGAAAGAAACGCTGGCACGTAGATAGGCTTTGCTAAAAATAGGGTCTGCTACAAAATGGGCAGAAAAATAGCTAAGCATACCCATTTTGCAAACAGAATCAGCAAATGTATTCACTTTGCAAATTCAGCAACCGTATGTTGCCTATTTTGTAGAATAGGCAAAATGCTTCCCTAAACTGAAAAATCCCCTTTCAAGGACACTGAATAAACCGGCTGGCAGAAATTCACCTATTTTGCATGACAGGCGACTGTACTGCAAGCTGTATTTTAGGAACTGTGCTCTTGCAGCCTAATTAAACCTTTCCCCCACCTCCTTGATATTCACAACAAAGTGACTCCCTTCAGATCCAGCACAATAACTGGCCGTTTCCACCAGAAAGCAGCTCCTGGGCACTTCTCTTCTGGTTCCAATAAAACCACACGAAGCTTTGCAATCCCTGTTTCGAAGAAGGGAATATTGATCCGCTTCCCACAACTGCAGAAGTCCTCAGCTGCGGCAGGCGAGGTGTCCCGAGCAGCACCCCACTGCCACGTCA